CTCCAGAATATCTACAAAGTCTTTTCTCTCAGCGTCACTCTGCTTACAACTTAAGAAACTCTGAGGGAAGGCTGACCCTGTCCAAACCAAGCACCAATTATTTGAAACGAAGCTTCTCTTACAGCGGGGCCATGTTATGGAATAACTTGCCCAAAAACTTAAAAAATGCTGCATCCGTTGAGCATTTTAAGCGAAATATCAAGAAGGTAGCTGATATATCGGATTCCCACACGGCAATCATGTAAAGCAGTTGTAATTAGTTTTAGTTTTAAACTTAAGCTTAACTGATGATTTCCCGTGTTTAAATAAAGATTTACATACATACATACATACATACATACATACATACATACATACATACATACATACATACATACATTCAAGTGGATACCTTTGTTCTTTAGGTGTTCAATTTTGATGCGGGCATTATCAATAAACAACCAGCCCCTGGAGGCACAGAGAGCTGTCATCGTGTGATTTATATGCATAATATGATAGGTGACGAATTACTCCTTAATTTTGGCGCGAAATTTCAGCGTTCATTTGTAATTTCACATGTGAAATTACTAAATTGCCATGGCAACCTTCCGTACGTCTCCGTTTCAAGATGGCGACGAAGTTTTAAAATGTCATGAATGACGATGTCAGGGCATAAAAAGACGCTTCAGAAAACCTGAACACACGAAAGAGCTTCTCAAGAAGGATTCTTAGAGGTATGTTGTCGAAAAATTCTGAAAACTTAAGCCAAATTTCAGCTCTAAATGTTTGAGAGAGTGGAGTTCACGATCGATCGATACGATCCAGGATAACTGAGGATAAACAAGTCAAAAATCCTCGATTGCTAAGGTAATTCGTCACCCATGATATTAATAGGTAATCAAATGGTATACTCGTGAAATTAGGGAATAATTTCACTTGCGTTTTGTCCAAATCCTAATAATTTCCCTCGCCTGAAGGCTTGGGAAATTATAAGGATTTAGACAAAACGCGCCTGAAATTATTCCCTAATTTCACTCGTCACCATTTGATTACACATACTAATCTTCTCATTTGCATTTTCATCTCTCTGGCATATTAACCCCAAAACCGATACCTTGATCGAAGGTCCAATTTTAATCGCCTCCTCTGCCATTCCAGTTAGACCCTCAATTATATCTTCCAATTCAATTCAATTCAATTCAATCTTATTCACACTTTTATAAAATATTTACATTATATATAGTAGGGTAGGGAACACTGATAAAGAAGAAGAAGACGAAGAAGGAAAAAAGAAAATTAATGGCTTGGATAGAAGTGTACGGTTAGATAAATTTATTATATCTCTTCAGGATATCTCTTTTTACAAAAAACTATTTACAAAATTATTATGAACATGTGATAAAAATTAAAAATCCACTATCATAAGAGTACTAAAATCAGAAAAATACTAAAAGCAGAGACCGACAAAATTAATTATTACAACGAGATATTTAAAACAAGATATTTTGCCGCGTGGCAACATCGCGATTGATTATTCTATTAAAGATTTCTTCCGATAATTTCCAGAATCCATTAGGCGAATCAGGTTTAGATAACTTAAAGAGGTCAAGACCAGCCTTAAAGGCGTTGATACTTGTTGAATTTCGCACACGTAGTGGCAGCTGGTTCGAATCTAGTATTTGATAACAGTATTGTTAAAGAAGTCATGTTCTGATCTTAATGGATGATGAGAAGTGACATTAAGATTACGAGTTCGATAAGCTGTATTCGTCCCATACATATTGTGACCATAGTTCACAAAACAGTTGATTATTTTGAAGTCCTCGATTAAGTCACCACGCATTCGAAGTTCCAGAAAAGTCGTTAATCTGAGACGCTGTAACCTTCGATGATAAGAGAGTAGGCTCATGCCCTCAATTATCCTGGTAAACTGTCTTTAGCAGTCCTCAATTTCCATTATAACACCCCAGTTTCCGCGTCTTGCGGTTGGGGCCCACACCTGCACTGCGTATTCCAAATGGGGTCTGACAAAAGCTTTGTGAAACGGTGGTCAGAGGATCTTAGCTTTCGACGCGAGCTAACCACCGCTTCAGGCTGAAATTCATTCAAATCGTTCGTTCCAGCATACCCTGCCAACAGAGTCTCCTTCGATCTTCCTAGATACCGTAAAATTCCGAAAATAAGCCCCGGGGCTTATATTTTTCAAAGGCCCTTTTTAAGGGGCTTATTTTTGGAGGGGCTTATTCGGAGGAGCTTATGTACGGAGGGAAATTTGCGTTTCAAAATCGATTGGGCTAGCCTTATTCTTGGAAGGAAATTTACCGTTTTTCTTTTTTTTTTAAATTAATTCATTTGAATCACTGATCTACATTACTTTTATATGAAGCATACAGATACACGATTACATTGCTACTATACAGTAATTACTTAACGATCCTGATCTATAATACAGAGTAGCCAAACTAACTTAAGTAGTTCTTGAATACTAAAGCACACACACACACGCACACACACGCACTACGCACGTTTACTGACTATCCGCCTAGAAACGTCCTGAAAGAGCCTCTAGAGAGTTAGCGCGATTGCTGTACTCCGTACATCTCGACAAAGGAAATAAAGACTAAAGATCATTATCCCGGATAAACGCTCCCCATTTTGCATTGAATTTTCTTAAAATCCCAGTTTTAATTGCATAACGTCTTTCATAATCGAGACAATTTAGAATGGTTCGAAACAAGAGTTCCCATGAAGGGTTAAGGCCTTTTTGTTTGGAGAAATAGATGTGATACCTCGCGATTAAAAGCACATCATGGAAAAGCAGGTTTGTAAAATCGTTTACGACAAAAAGGAGAATTCTTCGTTAAGAAAGCAAGAGCTGTTTTTCATCCAGCTTGGCTCAACAATCAATGAATTGAAAGAAAGCATCCAATTTAATGAGGAGCACATATCCGACTTGAAACTTGAAAACAAAAAGTTACAACAGGATGTTTGCGAGCTCCAGAAGCAACTTCTTTACATGGAGACTTACTCAAGGAGGGAAAATGCAAAATTTGTGGGGCTACTAGAAGAGCAAGTTGACAACATAAGTGGTGGTGACGAAGATCACAATGGCGCGCAAGCACAAATAGAAGATACAAGAGGGATCGTCTAGAAATTTCTCGAACATCAATTAAAGATTCCAAATGCGCGAGAAAGAATTGAATTCCAGAGACTTCACCGCTTAGGAAAACCGAAAAATGGAAGCTTGCGTCCGATTATCGCACGATTTTTACGTTATGGGAATAAGGAACTAATGGTGGATCAGGCCCGGAAACACATGAAGGACACGGAATTCCATGTGTACGATGACATCCCAAAATTGCCGTACGACTCGAGGAAAGGAGAAATGAAGAAGTTTCAGACGGCAAGGGAAGAAGGCTTTACCGCCTACTTCAGTAAAGCTCAGCCCGACAAACTGTATGTAAACGGAAAGTACATTGCCCCTGGTGAACCAATAGAGTGATATCCTTTTCAATAATAAGTTTTTCTCTGCGAATGCCAAATAATCTATTTGCAGCTACTTTTCCACTTATTTAATTTGTTTCCTTTTTTCAACTTTTATGTATAACGATATCAGGGAGTTCTATATATAGCAACATCGATCAGGCTATTACCAAAAGCGTATATTTGGAGGGGCGATTTAACGGAGGGCTTTTTGCGTTACGAGTTTGGGGGGCTTATACATGGAGGGGCTTATTTTCGGAATGTTACGGTAAGGGAAGAGGAAGGAACCTCTGCTGACATCCTCGACAATTCATATTGAGCATGCGCCAAATTCAAATTTTTGTGCGACGTCAATCAAACCGTTACCATAGCATGCACTGTGTTTGTCAGCAAATGTAAATGTTAGCGGGAACGTACAGTTGTTCGTTTTCACATTTCCGTACCTGTGTTTCCTCTGGATTTGGAAGCTCTATAGGAAAAATTTCACCTTGGGAATCTAAACTTGCCATGTTTCAGTATAAAGAAGACCAAAAAGACTTAGAGCCAAGGTAAAACTCGCGGTGCTTTTCAAAAACAAAGTAACGAACCCTGAAACACAAAAAACGGATCAAGAAAGCGAAGAAAGCGCCGCTTGTTCAGATTTTGAAAAACACAAAATCCAAAGACGTTTTTGACATCGCAGGTCGGGTGTTATCCAAAAACATTTGTAAGAGCATCGACCATTTAAATGCAACTTAAACTCTAGACATATCAAATTCTGCAAGCAGAATACTGCAATGCTGATCGTACTACGTGAAAATTAACTCTGCAAGACATTAACACGGCACCGAAAGAACTCAAAACAGAGCGGGATTGTAGCCATAGACAACTGTTTCGCCCTCTTTGGGGCTCGTCAGTCTGGCGTAACAACCAGGAAAAGCTGTGGTGAAAAATATCCGCGCACTCTGATTTGAGCTGTGACCTAGAACTCTCAACATCCACAGAATCACGCCATACCACGTGTCTTCTGGGGGGCAAGAGTTAAAGTGTCAAGTTGATGTCTTGCAGAGAAAATAAAGAGTTGGCCAAAACCAACCTATAACACATGGACAAACCCATGCAAGAATTACGGCATATCGGATCTATAAAAGATCTACGGCCCTAGAATACATAAAGTACAAACATTTACAGTCCTTTGTGGTTAATGTTTGAACTTGGATTCTGTAGCCTGATGATCAAATTTTTGCTCATGGTTATTAAAATCCAAAACAAAAACCAACTCAAATCGAGGTGCATTTTCCAATTTTTCTAAAACTGAACGTTCAATCTATAATTTTCTCAAAATTCCTGCGTGAAATTGAAGCGGCAGCCACTTGCTTTGTTACGGAGCGTGGGCGCAGAAAGAGTCAGCAAAACTCCAGAATACGCGTGCGTGCACAGATAAAACTGGTTTATCCAGTATGAAACTTGTCTGACTCATCCAAATCGCAGAGTCGAGAATGAGTTGATCTTTGATTGTGGCTATCTTGGCGCTCCTCTAACAAATTTTCTTAACAGACTGAGACTTAGAGAGTTTTTGCTCTTCAATCGCTTTTATCACAGAATCGCCGATCGTCTTACTTTTGGATTGTCGAGTACCATATTGTTTAGCTGAGTGTTCAGTTGTTTTAGGAGAGGCATGAGCCCGGGCATGAGCTGCTTCTTTATTTTCATCGGCTTGATCACGTACAGATTATGTTCGGACTAGTGGAGACTGATTGTGTGACATCTAATAAAGAATTGCTTTATCTTCCACAGCTTTCTGTTTCTCTGTTGACTTGGTTGGATTGTAGAGATAGCGATAGAAGCAGGGCATCTCTTTCTTTTTCGACTTCCTTAAATCTTTATTGTAGAAGTCGATTTTCTTGTTGTACAGGAGGTTTGTTGGGAGCAATGACAGTCAGACTTTGTGGATTTTTGTGTATTTTGCACCACACTCCATAATTTAGCAATTTTGGCCGCGAGTTTCTACATTCTCTCTTTTCATTCGAACGTGATACAACATAAAAGCATCAGTAAAAGAAAGTAATAAGAAATTTGAAGCTCACCTTGAGTTCCTAAGGAAAAATATCCACTTTCGCTTTCCATGTTTTCCCTCCAACATGCCGTGACTGTTGATTTTCTGCGCTTCTCGGGTTCCCGACCGTTCCCCAGAAAGAGAAGGAAGTGGGTCCCATGGCCCTCTCGGCCAACACAGAGAGCAGTGCATCACAGCAAATTTGCTGCCTCGTGTTTCTTTCTTTTTGCAGTCAGTTCAAACTGCTATCGGTAAGAGCAACTACGCAAGATGGAATCAGACCAACAAAAAGGTAAGTTAAGCTAGATTAAATTTCAGCTTCTACGTATATATTTTTTACCAATGTAACTGTTCCTTCTGTGCAGAATCCTGGAAATGTCAAATGAAGCATTAAATTATGTTGGAAAATCAGTATGCTTAAATAGTGGCTCAAAGTAAATGTAAATCGCCTTTCGTAACTCAGTGTCTCTCGTTTTGTATAGGGAGTATCAAACACAGAACAGATCAAATGATAGTTGAGTAATAAAAGTGCTAATTAAAGTACAGGGAAGTCCGGCGAGTAAAATATCATTCGTCATCACTTTCGATTTTACATTACGACGTAATTGCTTCCTCTATCGTAAATTGTTTCAAAATTTTGTCTGGCATGTCGAGACGGTAGGTAGGTTACAGAAGAAGAGGGGGAAAGGGAGGAGTAGTGATCATATGTTATCCAGTTTTTCAAATCCTTTACATCTTATATTAGTAGGTAAACGTTTCTATACATGCCAACTTTCCCGGAATATCCGGGAGTCTCCCGGATACGGCACCGATCTCCCGTTCTCCCGTGCGGGTTAGCATATCTCCCGGATAACATCATCTGTTGAGCTTTTAAGTGCCTCAGTTTGAGATTTAGCCCATTTTTAGCTCAAAACTTCAATTTTTCTTATTCGCAGTCCGGTTTCTGGGGCATTTTTGCACGTATTTAGTCACTGACGAAGAATAAGATTATTTCTGGCATGAACACGATGATTGCGAATTTTGATAGTATGTTCGTCATGTAAGACTTCATGTAATGCCCTAAGTCATTTCTATTGGGGGCTGGGGCAATTTGTTGGGGGACAGGGGGGGTTCCGTTGAAATTCGGGGGGGGAGTAAAAAAAAGAGAGTCTCCAGATTTTAGATCTCCAGAGGTTGGTTTCCTGCGTCGCAGATGGTCTAAACCTTCTGTATGGAGCATCTGCGAATTAGTGCACAATATCGTGTTTGAATTCTGCACAGTCACAAGGACATATGTCGGTGTTTTTGATTGGCTAGTTTCTTACACAGTTTGTGATTAGTCCAATTTGAAATAAGTGTTGACAGGCCAAACAGGACTAATAGCTTGTGACAAGAGAGACTGAGCTCATGATAGTGTGCAATGTGATCTTAGAGTCAGCTAGAACAACAGAAGTTTTTCTCGCTCTCTTTTTGCGCAGTTTATGCAGTGCATGGAGTATTCTACACTTTGACTGAGCATTATTGTGCCTAGTGCCCGTAGAGCCCAAGGCACCATGTTATCGTGCATACTTGTGTGTCCGTAACTCGGGTTTTTCTCGTATTCTTTCGCCAACAACCCGAGACCACTTTCGAGCAATGTTCGTTTCATTTTCGTATCCCGAGAAGACATGATGTAGATGGCAACTTTTTGCAACAATCGCTCCATGTGCTCACATTGCACATTTGTTCAACGACGTTGGTAAGTTTTCTATGTTTAAGATAAATTTATCTTACTTTCCTTCTAGAGCCAGGCTCAACTTTCAGTGGATTTTCAAAGAATTGATCTTAAAAGCAACATGAAGGGATTTTTCGAGAATTTTCTTGCTTTATCGGTAAAGAAACTGAAGAAAGTGTTGATGATTCTTCCCTCGATCAGTGGCCGTGGACGAGCGTTTCCTGCCGAATCCTGTCGTTATATGCCTTGTTTAGCGATCAGTAACTTCTACAGAAGATGGAATTTCCATAATAATTTTCAGGCAAACTGCACTGGGCCATATTTGTCCTTTGTTTTTGTCTTTTTCTAAATCGGACGAGAAGAAGAAAAGAAAGAACTACATATGGACCTTTAAGACGATATTCGCGGTTGGTCACCCATCCAGTTCTTAACTCCGACCGACAGGGCTTAACTTGAGTGCCGTTACCTAACCAAGTTTCGCGAGGGTTATTGCGAGATACGTATTTCTAGTAGTCATCAGAAATTATTTGGGCTAGGAGACAAAGGTGATATTTTGTTCAATTATGAATTGTTACAGTTGATACTAATGTCACAATAAAGTTTCTTGTTGATGTTATATCATGTAGTCATTGCAGATGATACTATTTTTCATATCACTAGGCACATGTAGTCATAGACTGACTTTTTTTTGCTGCTTTAGTCTCACATTTAGAGGTTAGGAAGCTGGTCTGTTCAGTGCTTATATATTGAGTAATTAGTTTCTGTTGTTTACGTTTCTGCGGACATTTTTTGACAGGATTTGATCACAGACGTAGTTTACCATTAAATGAATTTTTTTAAACCTCTGTTTGAGCCTTAAGCTTTTTTTTGCGGCTAAATAACCTTTAGTTAGTTTCTTTAGTTTTCTCCGAAATGCCTGGACCTGAATACCTGACCTGGACCTGAATGCGTGTAGTTTATTTTTGGCCGTGAATATCATGATTTCCTGATTTGTTTTGATGCTAGAACTGTCGGCTAGATTGCAGAATACATGGCAGTGCATCTTCAGTGATTGGAAGACGCTAGAATCGTCGACAAATTTACAAGCAAATTTTGGCCTTGAAGGAATTCTCTCAAAGCATTTTTTTGTTCAGAAGATGGCTTTAAAGTTCAAACTGCTCTTTCATTGTTTACTGTAAACTGTAAACGATCCTTGCCAACTCCCTCTGGGGAATTTTGACATGTCACTGTGCCCAACTATCATGCACATGTAAGAATTAGGCCAATTGTGAGGCACATAAGAAACCCGTAAGAAAGCTGCCTATCAGAAACGCTCACATGTTCTTGCGACCTCTGCAGGATATTAGAACAAGCTTTTGTGCACTAATTCGCAGACGGACTATACAAAGGGTTTAGACGAGTGCATAGGCCGGCTGCAATGCAGGCTAGAGGTTGGCAACTCTGTGTTTCATTTACTCGGTACTGAGACTGAAGTTGGGGGGGGGGCGGTCTCCTCTTGGAGGAAGGCGGGGCAAGGGTACTCAACAAAGTGTTATACAAGGAGGCTCTGCCCTGAGATCCAACCCTTTTCGTTTTATATAGCTTTTTGACGAGAAAAGGTACCCCTTTCATCTATTTTTATTGGACAAATGGTAGTCACATACCAAATTAAGAACTTACATGTATTTGCATCCCTTTCACAGTCAAACTGGGAAAACTGTGAACCCCAGAAATATATTTCTGGAATGTTATTGTGTTGCAGGAAAAAAGCCAATCAAGCATGGCAAAAACTAAACCAGAGAACTATGAATGTTAATAAGTTTGTGGTTTTGTAGCAATTTAGTTCGCATATATATCCTGATCTTTGCTGTGATTGGTAATAACACAACAAACAATTCTGAAATATTTCAAGAGTTTACAGTTTCCGCAGTTGCAATAGTAATTGCTGTAAGAGCACTTTCTTAAAATTTTGAGTAAAAAATCACACAACCAGAACATTATCTCAACTTTTTCACAGCCACAAAATGCAAAATGCATGTTTTAGCCATCTCTTGCATTTACTTCAACTAGTGAATTCTCTACCCCTTCTATACCTGAAGCCTGGAAAAGGTACCCCTTTCAGGCAGAGCCTTCCTGTAAAGGCCATTATAGGGAGTATCGACAACCAGGGTCTTCTACAAAGGATAAATTTTTCTCATGTAATTTTTACATAAGGTTTTCAAATTTCCAAGGAGATTTATAATTTTCTGTCTTTTTCTTTTGAAAACATTATGTAGTCATGTGCATGCTGTCATTTTGAAATGAAATAGTACAGTTTCTTGTAAAATTGAAAGGTCAGTAAATGGAGAGTATTCTCAGGGGAAAGAGAAGCCTTCTGTATAAATCTTAACTCCCTTTGTGTAGCGCTCCTTTCTCGTTTAATTGTTTCAAGTTACAGACCTTATCTACAAGACCCAATTTCACTTGCTGAGTATAAGATATTGACAGCCCTGAATCATAAGAAAGTCAGTACCAGAGTTCTCTAGTCTGCCTTCTCTTTCCTGGCTTAATTTTATGTAAGTCCACATCTCCAATGAACCAAGTTAGAAGCGCTATCCACACAAATTGTTGATAGAAGATTCATTGGAGTATTTTTGTTGCAGGATCAGATAAACAGCCAAAACTGAAGGTGACTTTGGCTTCAGACAATGAGGGATGGGACATCGCTGTGAATGGGCAGTTGATCCTTGAGCTTGCTGCTAACCCACGAGTTAAACTGTGTGGACTTTTGCCAAAAGGCATCACTGAAAAACAAAAAGAGAATGCTAAAAAGTTGGGTATTGAGCTTTTTGAGGCAAAGGATATACCTGTTCTTTTACCAAGTGACACACTGGCTTTCCCACCTGATAGTCTTGAAATTGATGTCGTGATTTTTCACTCGTATGGACGTTACCTTGGACGGCAAGCACAAATCGTCAGGGAAAGGAAAAGTTGCAAATGGCTTCATGTTATTCACACTGTTTGTGAAGAACTTGCCAAATTTTCAGACACACCAGCAGAGCTTATAACTGAGCATGAAGTCCAAATTGAGCTGTCTAAAATTGCCGACGTTGTGATCGGAGTTGGACCAAAAGTAGCTGCTGCCTATCGATCAGCGCTGCAGCCAAGTGGAAAAGATAAAGATGTAATTGACCTAACACCTGGAATCTTTTACAACTTGATCAGTACTCGGCCAACAAAAGAGGAAGGAGAGAAGTTCCATGTACTGATGAGTGGATCACTGAAGTACTTTAAAGTAAAGGGATGCGATATTGCTGCCAAGGCGATCAAGTTACTGAACAGTGCATCCTACAAATACCACCTCACATTTATTGTGAAGCCCAAGGAAAATGTTGCAGAGATAACAGAGGCCTTGCAGAATGAGGGAATTGATTCCAACCATTTTACCGTGGAAGTCTCAAATGGTGCAGAAGATTGGAGCAGCTTACTTTGTAAGGTAGATCTTCTCATCAAGCCATCGAGAGCAGAAGGCTTTGGAGTGAGTGGTGTTCGTGCCATTTCTGCAGATCTGCCACTCCTAGCCAGTAACTACTGTGGACTGGGCGTGGCCCTTCAGAAGCTGCCATCTGGAAACAAACATGTGGTGGAATCTGAAGACCCACAGGTTTGGGCTGACAAAATACGAGAAGTCAAAGAAAAGGGGTCAAAAACAAACCAGCAGGAAGCTGAGGAGCTGAGAAGTGAATATGAGAAGCAGTTCAACTGGAAGGAACAGTGTGATAAGCTGGTCACACAAATGTTATCTTTGATTTCAGAAAAGTGATACCTAATCTTGTTACCAGGCAAGCACCAAAAAGGTTGTGATTCTGCCCTAGTTATTCATTATCAGCCAGCTTGATTCATTAGATACATTAGATGTTAGATTAAGCAAAACTCCCCCTGGTATACATGTATGTCACGAATTAGAAGTTAGACTACAAGCAACCTGTCATCTTTATCCATTAAGTGAAATGAGTGGCTTCCAACACATCCATCTTTCATCAAGAGACATCACTAAATTTAATCAACATTAAGGTAGCACATCCACATAGTGGTTCTTTGTCAACTTGATTCCTGGTGGAATTGAAATTTGGATAATTATGTTGATTTTTGAGGAGAGGGGGAAATCAGAGTACATGGAGAAAAACCTCTCAAAGCAAGGGTAAGAACCAACAACAAACTAAACTGACGAATGACATCAATGCCAGGATTTGAACCTGGGCCACATTGGTGGGAGGTGAGTGCTCTCACCACTGCAGCCACCCTTGCTCCCCAACTTTGAAGAAAAAATTAGGAGACTTAGCACTCATATAGTTAGTCCGAATAGAGCCCATGCGTGGCAGCAGTTATTATAGTGTATTGGTATAAGTTATCAATTTACACCATTTAAGTTTGTTTTGTTACACTTAAAGCAAAAACAAAAAATTGAAGATTATTTAATCCGTAACATCTTTTCCAAATCAGTGATTTTTTATCAGGGAATAAGGTGATATGACTGTTAGATTAACTCAAGAACTTTGTTTTGATTTTATTTTTGGCAGTCCAGAGACTTTTGTAAACTGAGAACTCCAAATTTAAGAAAATATTTGAGAGGCCCTGTTAGGGTTAAATTATGACAAGCAACATGGCCTTGAAACAGCGACACAAAGCAGATGAATTGGTGAGAAATGACACAACTTTAGTTCGAAACTGCAACAGCGACAAGGAAAATCACAAATACAACAGTAAAAAATACCAACAGCCATCAGTGACACTGCCTCCTCTTCAATATGCAAAATGAACACTGTTGAAATTCAAATGAGGGACATGCGTACCCCCCTCCCCCCTAAGAGGGCCTCGTTTGACCTTAAACCTATTGAGACTCAAAAGGTCTGTGGTTGAAACTAAAACGTTCACCGCACCTCTAGAATCAGTTGGTTTTAATATTGTTTATCTTAAGTTAGAAAGTTTTAACAAAGCTAGGTGTGATAAAAAGTCATTCTGCTTCATTTTTAATAGTAAGTGCTGACACATACCTTGTGCAGCTAAATCACTACCCAGGAGTTTATATTCACTTGCTATAAATTGAGGTAAAATAGCAAGGAATAAATTATGCGTTAATGTAAATCTAAAATAATAGATATTGGTTATGATCATCATAGTGCACTTGTACTAGTACTGTTGTTTTCTATGTATTGATAAAATTAATAAAAACACTTCATTTGTTCTAAGCTTTCTTTAATGCATTATAGTTATATTCAGTCTCTTTTCTTAACACTTTCTAATACATGCAGCTACATTTCAATAACTTGAACTTTCGTGGACACAAGAAGTATTATTTGGGAAAGTTCTCCCCCAGCTGCACGATGCCAAACTGTGAACAGTGTACAAACTTAAATCAGCCCCCACCCCCTAAGCATTATTCAGGGTTCACACAGTCTTGAAAAGTCCTTGCATTTTAGGGGAGGTCCTTGAATTCCATTTTTCCCTGAAAAATCCTTAAATTTCTAAGCAAATCCTTGAAAAGTCCTTGAATTTTCTTCAACTTTGAATGTAGTGGCCTGGAAAGTGTTTTTTGATGCTTTTTGGTTGTCCAAGGCGGAATTGTAAATAATTATGAATCACAGCTCAGAGAATTTAAAGGTTATTTACACAAAGTGCTCAATGTTTTATGCAATTTAAGACAAGTGAACTGAAAAATGTAGAGAAGTTGGTGGGGTAATCAGTTCAAACCTTAAAGCCTTATTAAAATAGACTTGGAATGTGCCTTTTGTAGAATCTGTGAAATTATAACTCCTAGTAGGTAGGTGGTCCTTGAAGAGTCCTTCAGTTGAAATTTTTGTGGTTGCAATTTTTTGTATGAACCCTGATTTGGATGGAACAGCAGCCAGTCAAGGAGAGGGCAGGGGAGGCATGTTCTTTTTCTGCCAATCCACTTTTTTCCAGTCTTGTCATCAAGTTTTCTGTCTCAATCAACTTGAAAAAGGACTCATCCTGGCAGTGAAAGATGTACTAGGGTTTATCTCTTTCAAAAACACTCTGACCTGTTCAAGTTTGACTGCGAGTTCAAGTTATTGAGCATGAGGTTAAAATGTATTGAAGAGTATTACTACATGATTTACATACTAGCTGATCACAATTTCCCTCTCTAAAGCCCAGTTGCCTTTACAGATCTATTATAATAATATTGTATTCTGTCTAATATAATCTACACATGCAAACAATACTACTGTTGTGAGCGATTTCATTACAAAGACTTGCACTAGCAGAGCTGTAAGGGATATTCTTTCATGATAGAACTTGTTTGCCCGTAAGTGTTGTTACCCAGAGTATAATTATAGACAGCACTTAAGGAAGTTTATACTCAAAATTGGTTATGATCATGCAGTTTTGCATGCAGTCTATTTTGATCTTCACTGAGGTAAGAAAACATACAGGTGCCGTAAGCCTATCAGGCCACTTCCTCTAGCTTGGAGTTTACTGGAATAACCTACTTCTCAAAAGCTATTGAAATGTCTGAGTTGGCAGGGGCGTAGCCAGCTTTTTAACTTCTTGTAGGCTTCAGTGTTCCCTAGAGGCTGCATCTAAGCCTTTTTCCACAACCAAATACAGGGGTATTTGAAGGAGGCTCTCTAAAGTTAAGCTATTTTTTCCGGCAATAGTAAATAGCTACTCCCTCAGCAATACTGAGACCTTGTATAGGTATTCCTGAGGAAATCGGAGTCGCAAACAATTGCTATTGACGAAACAAGAATCTCAGAGATTGAAGTGACAATCACATCACCACTCCTATTTTTTTGACAAAGGTAGTTGGGTGATGACAGCAAATAAATCTGCCAGAAAGTGAGGTGCCTCGTTTTTGTTTTGCTTATTAAACCTGTTGCTTTTTTATATTTATTTTCTCATTTCCATCATCATCGTCATTGTGGAGTAGTGTTACTATGCAAAATAATTCTTGATATGCTAAGATTTTCTTGGAAAACTGACAATAACACCTGCAGGTACCCATAGAGAGGCTCAATACAGGCCACCTACACCCAGCATCCAAACAAAATTAATGAGAGTAGTGCTGGTTCTAAAACTATTCACCATGACATAATGATTATTACTTATTATTATTATGTTGCTAAATACAAGGCTGTGCTCTGAAAAAAAAAAACAATGAGGAGTCCAAAAACTCTAACCTGTGAAATAGGGTTGCCCAACATACAAAAATATTTTTGTTAAAAAAAACCATGAAGATTATCTTCTAGCTTAATGCAAAATATTGGCTTTAAATTAATTATCTGGATATTTCTTTACCCATAACCCTGGATATCTTTATGGGAAAGAATATTGGCTTTGCATCTTTATCTTCTAGCTTAATGCAAAACAAGTCCCTACACGTGTAGAGAAGGGGAACTTCCAGAACACAGCCCTGGAATCTATTATTTAAAAAATCAATCTTATTTTATCTGGATATTTCTTTACCCATAACCCTGGATATCTTTATGGGAAAGAATATTGGCTTTGCATCTTTATCTTCTAGCTTAATGCAAAACAAGTCCCTACACGTGTAGAGAAGGGGAACTTCTAGAACACAGCCCTGGAATCTATTATTTAAAAAATCAATCTCATTTTATCTGGATATTTCTTTACCCATAACCCTGGATATCTTTATGGGAAAGAATATTGGCTTTGCATCTTTATCTTCTAGCTTAATGCAAAACAAGTCCCTACACGTGTAGAGAAGGGGAACTTCTAGAACACAGCCCTGGAATCTATTATTTAAAAAATCTAGTCATGAATTTGGTATGCAATAAAAGTTTGCCTCGGTTTTCTAAAACTTTTATTCTGCAAAAGTGGCATTTAATGATGCCTAATGAACCACTGACCCATTTTACTACCCTGTTTACAGCAAGAAATCATTTTTCACCAACTGATTTAGTCTATTTCATTTTGAAAATAAAATTAAGTAAAAAAAACTAACATGACAGAATTAGATTAAAAAAAAAAATTGTGCACTGTGCCTTGCCAATGTTCTCCCACCTCCCTTCCAGTGCCCTTTCGTGGCTTTCGGTCTAGAATGACCCCAGGAGGGGCACCCTGCAAACAGAGCCGCCTTTTGTTTTCTTGATCGGCTCTGCCTGAATCATGTCAAACCTTTGAGGTTGCTCCAGCCCAAAATTCTGGACCATTTAATCTTGTATCCTCGTGTCAAACTGGTTTTTTTGAGTGCAAGCATCTGTTTTTTGATGAAACCAATGGTCATACCAGAGATCGCCGTAGCAAGTGAATGGCTATTAGGCCTGGGTTCAAAACTATATCCTAGCGACATACAGTGCATGCTTAGCAAAGATCTTACTCAATTTGTGCAGAGTCTTTCTTCCAAAATCAAGCAAGTGAAAGAAAGGCTGTGCTGGCAGGGTACCCAGGGGGTGAATCCTTCAGCAAACTAATCTGTGTGGCTTGCACTTTAATTGACCCATCTTTTGGTCTCCTTTAAAGGAGAAGACCATAAAGGCATACTCCAGTGCATTGCAATGGCATTTGCTTTTATTTTATATGGATGTTAATTTCTTTCCCCATAAACCTGGATAACTTTATGGGTAAAAATATTGGCTTTCCATCCTGAACTCACTAAGTGAGACCAAGATCCGCAATTTCTACCCCTAAGCAAGACAACAAGCATGAGCATCTCCGATACTTCAGCATATGGGAGTGCCCCTCTCCCCAACAAGCAGAATGAAATACTGTTAAAAACGTCAAATAGTGAAATTGTATACCCTATTTACACTCAAGACAATGAAAAACATACCCCGTTTGGCCGCACATACCCTTCTAGGGCAAAGGAGGCCACCCTCTGTGGAACTTGCCACTAAGGAAGAAGTAAAGCATTTAATTATCTTTGCTGTGTAGTTATGCATAAGTGTCACCATTACTCCTCAAGTAAGCAAGAACTACATGATCTGATAAATCAGTAAGCTCTTGAAACAAATCTGTTGTCAGATTAAGTATGGAGATTCTGTGCGTCTACCCAGTGCTTCAAGAGGGTCTTTGCCACGTCCCATCGTTCAAGGTCCTCCCCATTCAACAATTCAATCAGCTTTCCCACTGTCGCTTCACCACTTGCTAAAGACCAGGATGTCAGAATTTCATCGGTGGGGTCATCTTTTGACTCAAAATGGCGTATTTGTTCCCTTGAGAATCCAAGTTTCTCAGCAAGAATCCTGAAGTCATCAAATTTCTCATCTCGCTTGATATTCAACTGCTCACAAATCTGTTTATAAACTTGCACAGGCAAGTCACGCACTTTAGTTGACAATGCATGACTTATCTTTACCTTTCGGGCCACTGCCATTGCATCCAATCTATCACGACCACTCGCATCTTGGTTTGACTCTTGAATACTTGGGTTGACATCCTCCCCAAGAAACCTTCCATCTACCCGGTCAGCTTCAGCAATAATTCTTTCTGCAATGACAAGAGGGAAGTGAGGAGAATTAATACCGTCTTCCCCGGACAATAATCAGGGCTTGAAATTAATGGTAACCAGTTAACCAATGGTTAGAGTAGTTTCCAACATTTGCTAACTGAAAATGTGCCGAAGCATACCTGACATGGTTAGTAAAAATTACTGTTAAATACATGTAAGTAGTTTCATTCATTATCATAGAAATTCTTCTTGCAAATGAATATTAATTTTAGGCTCAAAAGGCTAATCTGTTTTTTTTTTCTACATGTATAAAATTGTTTTCTATCTCAAACAAATTGTTGTGAAAGATACGCTTACCGCATGATCAAACAATACGAAAAATGCAGATTTCATGAAACTCAAGCTGAGCGAAGGTAACCAGGCTTTTATTGGATGGGGAGATCAGGACACAACCTTTGTATTACCTCCACCATCTTGTCTTTTGCATTATTGGAAGTGGCTTGTTTTGTGCAACCTTTTACTATACAGATCAGATGCAAAGACCCTTTGACAGTTTTTTTCAGAAAATTAATGGTTGCTGCCCACAATTTGTGAATAGGAAATGGAAGATTAAGAAACCTAACAACGAACAAGTGTAGTTTCAAACACTATGGAAGGCTTCCTGAAGCAGTACAAAGAAAAAATGAAAAAAGAAAGAGGAACTTTCCATGCATGAAAAATTGAAAAAGGAATTCACCTGGTTGCATTTTGATGAGTCTACACAAACAATGTTTTGAACCAATCCATCCATAAGTTTGCCCCATTTACTAGTACAATTTTCAGTAGTTAATAAATTATATTGTTAGTTCAAGAACAGATTCTTGAATAATAAACTTTATAACTTGGTTAGTAAAATTTATGCCTTCTAACCCAAAGGGTTAGGTATCCAAAAAATTAATTTCAAGCCCTGCATTAATCCATCAATCCAGTACAAGGAATTCTAAAATTGCACTCGTTCCAAGGGAAAAAAATGGTGTGAACATCAAAGTAAATTTCCGGTAAAACAGGTTTTTATAGCCAATATAACACTGAACGCTCAAGTGTCTGGTTTTATGAAGAAAAACTAATTAATGTTATTGTCTCAAAGCAACTTTCAATAATACTTCACAAGGCAATTGCATGTTCACTGATCTACAAGATGGTTGAAATCCTGCTTAATAATATTAAGACAGAATCCATCAGGAAATTGAGTAATTATTTCAATTTTCAGTGGACAAAAATCTTGTACCAGAATAATTTAAAGAATATTGCATTCTTTTTTACATTTTTTTAGGGCTTAAGATGTAATAAATCATCTGTAGTAATGTCAAAGAAAATTTCTCATGGAAGTCCGAGAAAATAAATGTCAAATTTCACAGGTAAAATTCTAAAAATGTCATGTGTAAGATGTAATTTTGTGAAATTTGACATTCATTTTCTCAGGCTCCCATGCGAAATTTTTTTTGGTGTTACTACAGATGATTTATTACATCTTAAGCCTTTGAAAAATGTAAGAAAAAATACAATATGCCTTAAAGTATTCTGGTACAAGATTTTAGTCCACTGAAAATCAAAATTACTTAATGTTATGGTGGATTCCGTCTTAAGCTCTCATGAGAAACATAAATAAACATTATACATTGCTACAAATCAAAAGTTATACTATTCATACCCTGATTTTGTGCTACCATTTCTGAAAATATTCTCAACAAGCGGTCAACTTGTTCCTTCCACAGAAATCTTGTTGTATATTCACTTCTTAGCTGCTCAGCATGAACATGGCAAGTCTTGAAGCCCTTTTCCCTGACTTCTTTGATCTTATCAGCCCAAATTTTTGGCTCATCAGAATCAACCACATGGTTTCTGCCAGAGGGTAAACTCTTCAGGGCAATGCCAAGCCCACAACTTCTGCTGACAAGGAGGGGAAGATCAGCAGAAATAGCCCTGAGACCACTCATTCCAAAGCCTTCTGTTCTTGATGGCTTGATGAGAAGATCTACCTCACAAAGCAATCTGTGCCACGCTTCTGTGGTCCCAGGACATCCCCGCACTGTCAGTTGTTTCACATTGATTCCTTCCTTATACATGGCTTGCTGAATTTCGGCAATGTTATCATCTTGAAGTACAACAAGAATCAGATGATATGATGAATCTTGCAGTAGATTGATAGCTTTAGCTGCAATGTCACACCCCTTGACTTTAAAATACTTGGCAGAACCACTGATCAGTATACGGAACTTTTCCCCTGTATCCCAGCACTTGGTGTCTGATGACTGACGCACACCTAGAAATTCACTTGAAATTTTTGGCATGAGGGTAAAAATGCTATCCTGTTTACCACAGTATCGCAAAGCAGCCTTGTAAGCTTCTGCAACTTTTGGGCCCACGGCAACAACAAGATCAGCCTTCTCACAGAGTTTCACCTGTAGCTCATGTTCAGATATTGGTTCGTTCACAGCTGCCCTTGAGACTGCTTTCTGTGCATATTTTTCCAGTTCCTCACTTACTGTATGCACAACAAGAACCCACTTACAGTTCTTAGTGTCCTTAATAATCTGAGCTTGTCGCCCGACATCACGCCCATAAGAATGCATCATCAAAATGTCAATGTTTAGATCATCAGGAGGATAGGCCAACAACTCTGTTGATGAATAGCCAGAAATGAATTTTGCATCAAAAAGGTCAATATTTAACTCCCTGGCATGTTCTCTTTGCTGCTGAGTGTTTCCTGGTACAAATCCAGTGACAAGGACTCTTTCATCCAGAGCCAGTGTACTTTCTAATTGGCCATTCACCATCTTGTCCCATCCTTCAGCATTGGATGCAAGTGTAATTCTCTGTATAGGCTCACCTAGAAAGCAAATTAGAAAGCTTAGAAGTACTTTATTGAAACCCCTCAAAAACAAGTACAACAACAACAAAAACACTACTACAACACTGAGTGTTGATAAAAATGGAACAAGTACCAAATAGTGCAGCAAAGGAACTGAAAATAAATTTCCACAAACTACATTACACTGCCCGCACATGATTTGACCTTTTGTTGACAACACAACAACCATTATGGGGCTCCTGTTCAACAGTCATTGAACAATCCCATCTCCATTATATCACACAACATTCATATTTTAGCCATTCAACATGTTGAACATTGTTGGGCATTATACCGTCGTTTGCATCTAAGCGTGGACATGAGACAAAAAAAACATGTTGTAATAGGGTGCCAGACATGACGTGTTTTGTCGCCAAACATTTGAATTTTGACAGCCGTTAAAGCAAACTGTCATGCCAAAGGTAAGTTGTTTATTTGTTTTTGATCAGCCCATTCCGCTCAAATTTCATTTTTCACAACTTTCAGTCACATTTCTCTCTCAGAAACACCACACTTGCCTCCAAAAATTATTCTTAACGTCTGAAAATCTTGCAAGGACTGATTTTGTTGAGCAAAAACAAATCAAGTCAACAACAGCCAGCTACGCCAAACTTCGAATGTTTGGCGCCAAAACATGTTACTTTTGCACCCAATTAGAACATGTTTTTTCCTCACGTGTACAAGCTTAGATGCAACCGACAGTACTAAACGTGAACGAAGATGAACTCTATTCCCTGGTTGAATGACAGTGTGGAGTTGCACAAAAACAGTAATTCACTTGTATTTATACTTTTCTTTCAAGTTTCAATGCCATCGATGAAGATCAATGGGGTTCAAAAATATCCGCATAAAACCCAACTGTTGGTTGTTTATTTGAAACTAGGGTATGTGACCAGTCACTGCTTACTAGATCTGAGGGCAGAATTGACAGCTCCAAAACATTTTAACACACACATTTCTCTCACATCCGTACAAGAAAAGCCAGCCCACAGGCTACAATAAGATGCAACGATGAGGCCCTGTATTTGTACTGCACAGATCGATCTGCAATTAGCCTACAAATAAGCTTATAGCCACAACAAGAACTTCAAAAAGTATATACCGGAAGTGCTAGCTTGGATGAATAGAGAGTTGTAATGAGAGCGTTTTTCGCAGTTTCAGTGTTTGGGATGAAATAGAGGAACTTAAGTGCCTTTAATACATACAAGCTACGTGTAACGTTACTAGAATGAAGACTGAAAATACTTCAAAAGCTTCATTGTAACCCTTCATCCCCCGTACGAGGTACTGGAAAGCAACGATGCTAATACACTGTATATTTGTGTCTAAAGCTACGTTAATTACCAATCTGTTGTTACCAAATTGCTTAGCTAGAAACTGATACTTGTCTCACTAAGAATATAATTACCATTCAAACTAAAATTTAAGCCGTGAGGCTCCAGACATGATTGAACGTCCCTTGCCGCCATTCTTCATTCACTGCGCCCAAGGCCGCAAAGGACTGTGGGACAGGGATTTTACCCTTTCCCATAAGCGAGAGCGAGGCGGCTGCGGCAAGAGACTACCATACGAGTTCTAACCTGAGATCATACCCAATTTTAGTATCTCTTACCAGGAGCCCATCAATTTGATGGGCTCCTGCTCTTACAGATTCTTTCTTACGTTTCGGCTTTACGGTGGCCCAGAAGGGTCACACATGCAAATTAAAAATGTTGCTGCAAATTAAAAATAGTACATGCAAATTAAAAATTGTACATGCAAACTAAAAATATTACCTGCAAATTAAATATAGTACATGCAAACTAAAAATTGTGCTGCTCGATGCAATTTAAAAATGAAAAGTCCTGCGCGCGCAGTATGAGTGATGAGGACCTGGTCCGAGCCGTGCGATGTGGCCTTACAGCCGTCGGTCCATTAATTTTTTATAGTTTTGCATGTACAATTTTTAATTTGCATGTCCTATTTTTAATTTGCAGGTAAAATTTTTAGTTTGCAGCAACATTTTTAATTTGCATGTGTGACCCTTCTGGGCCACCGTACGGCTTGGCCCCGGAGGTGATGTTTACCAAGCGAAACGAATTTGCACGTGTACTTGAAGGTGGGGTGTGTAGCTTTACCTCCCCCACGGAGGGTGGAGCCCCGGGAGGTGACTGCCCATAGCAAAGTTTGGCTAGAGGCGGTGCCTCGCGCGGCCTCCGAGACCTCCAAACCCTGACAGGACTGACTGCCTGACAGTAAAAAATTGTTCATTTCCCATCAAGTTTAAGACAAGAGACCTTATTTTACTAACCTAATTGGTTGTTTTTCATACACCCTGTTCATTTGACTTGACAGAAACCGGATTCCTCGCTGGATGGCGATTTCCCCGAATTCGCACAAGTGAACCTGGGCGTGACCTATTTAATAATAAGGTGCCGTATAATCTTAGAGATATTTATATTTTGAATCGTCCACTTCATTCCTATTCTACACGGCGAAGCAATAATATATATAAGCAGATTTACAGAACAAACTATGGCTATTACTCAATTCGGTGTAATTAACGACGAAGCTGAACTCTATTCCAGAAGGATTTACAGAACGCAAAATCACAATATAGTATAAAAGTGTTTAGACAAAGTGTTTAGACAATGCTTAACGCTGTGGAAGTTAAATTCTTGAAATCAATTTATGTTTAGATTACGCTACATGTGGCGTCCAGACCTGATAAGAAAACATAATAGATAATAGGAGAACCTTGTAATAAAAACCCTTAAAAGTTCTCTAGTTTCCATGCATATTGATGCAATTACGTATTTGTTCAATATAATAAAGTTTATGTTGTTTTTGATTGGTAGAGAAGTAAAGGCCATCCTCCCTTTCCCTTTCTTCCCAGGGAAAACTCAATAAAGTTTTATTTAAGAAGGCTCCGTCTTGAGGTCCAGCCCCTTACCCTCTTATATACATCTGGGCAGAAAAGGAGCCTCTTTCGTATACCTTCTATTTACAGATGGTACCTTAACCCCCGTCACATACCTACAATCCTGGACAAACGTTCTTGGGACGGCAGGAGCATAACAGCAGTTCTATCTGTATCACAAGTAATGTTGGGAAAAGCAGTGATGTCCTTTGAAAAACCTTTTAACCCCTCCCCCTTCCCCACCTAATACAATGTTGAAAGATCAAAGAAATGTCAAGACTGTTTTGGGGGTGGGGAGATGCACTGTTAGTCGTGCGCGAATGTTAATTGAGCGTGTGCTAAAAAGCATGAACTCTATAACTGTTATTTATATCCCCTTTAACTGCTGTTAAATCACTGTCTTGAATAAATCCAGGGGATAAATCACAATACCAATTCTCTCGACTTTTTCACAGCCATAAAATGTATCTGTTAGCCCTTTTGGGCCTTTTTACAGACCAATATAGCAGATGTCCCCACCCTTTCACATACCAAGTGAAATCCCTACTCTTTCACATACCTGAAGCATGAAAAAGGGGGATTTCCTGGATAGGTCATTATAGAGAGTACCCCTCGGGCACACAGGCTTCAGCACAAACCCATTTAGGCAAATAAGGGAGTGCCCCTCTGGGAACTTTTCAGTTGACTCTCGTCTAAAGAGAAAGAAATTGCCTAAATCACAGCCTGCTAGTGACCTGTTAGTCTTTTCAGGAAATAAGTTTATTCGGCTTTGGGACAATCTACCCACAATCCATTGATTATCATTTCTCTAAGGTGGCCAATTACAAACCACTTAATAAAAGCAAATTGTTGTGTTTCACCCAAGCCCCAAACAAAGCAGCACTACAGTTTCTTACTGCCTCTTAGGTGCGATTACATCCGTGCATCCAGTTGAACGATATGGCTACTGAATCTTTATGTGGAAAATTGTTAAAACTAGCCCATTAGATACCAAAGCAAGTTAAAGTGTAGCCTACCTTTATTGGCTGAACATTAAATCTCAGTTTTACATATTTTGCATATGCACAACCTTTCCCCAATGTCTCTCCTGATTTCTTGGCAAAATCCCTGGGGAAGAACTGGGAGAGGGGTTCATGAACTGAAATCAGTGACTGCATTCAGCACATTTGGGGTTAAAAGAACACTTTTACCTGAATAAATTCAATATCATTGTAAATTCAGATATTATCTCTATCTCTCCTGTACTAAGATTAAATTTATAACCTTTAAATGTTCAGTCTATGTTCTGTTAGCTGACAGGACTACAATGCATGGAATAATTTTGCCAACTGTTTACATGCACTTTATTGATATGTTGACAAAAAAGTTCCTACTAATGTCTGACTTTAATCTCTAATTTAATACAAAACTTCACTATAGAATGTGATAGAAACTAAATTTTCCTATGTAACAGCATTATCAATAAAGTGGCATGCATGCATTTACATCCACTCACAGTTAATGGAGTAGAACAAAATTTCATCAACAAACTTTGGTCCTCATTGGCAACTTTGTCTATAGATTTAAGTTTCTGCACCAAAATGCTTAAGTTTCAAATAATGTTCATGGTAATATGAAGCATTCTACTTTTCCCTGCATGACTGTATTATAATCTTCAACCTCCCCCCCCTCCCCCACCCATGCAGAAAGTTTTGAAGGTTTGGATCTGGCCAATCAATAGGAAAAACAAGTGTCGAGAACTCATAATCAGTATTCTAATGTTCAAAGAAAAGTAAAACAAGGTAAAAATAATCCTTAGGTAATAAATATAATTTTAGTTTTTGAACTAATATGAATTCTACATGTACATGTCTAGAAAACTAATAAAATAATATACATTATTATTACGGGACAGTGTTTTACACAACTTAATACAGGAAAAGAAATCTATTATTGTCCCTCAGAGTTATTTTAATTCTAAAAAACTAGGCTATAATATTAATTTTATGAACTACATAGTATACTATAGTACTATAAAACCTCTAAACTCTTTTTTTTCTAAACATACCACCAAATTTGATTGTAGTACTGATTTTATTTTAGATACTTCTGTATCATATCAATTTGATCAACATTTCAAATTACGTTATGAAACTTAGCTAAATTTCAGCCAATATTTTGCATTATTGCAACATACATATACAGCAAACCCCGTTAATACGGATACTGGGGGGTGGCATAGAAAGTGTCGTTATTAATAGGGTATCCGTGTTAAGCGGGTTGAATTTTAGAGAAAATGTAAGGTCTTTCTTTCCCCAGGGACAAAGCAAACTGTCCGTAATAATGAGGTGTCCGTATTAAGCAGGTGTCTGTAAGACGGGGTTTGGCAGTAATATAATGGAGTTCCAAGATAATGAAAATTTGAAAAATAAAATTTTGCTGCCTGCATGTAGTGAATAATTTTCCTGCATTCACTATAGGGCAGCAACCAAAATAATGTCACTGTATTCTGTCAACCCGGGCTTCGACTTCCTGTCTGTGCTACACTGGAAGGCAGGAAAGGTCTACTATGACCTCACTAGATCACATGACCAACAACCCTGTACAATGCGGTCTGTACACTGCAAGTTAGTGTCACAAGAAGGAGATGTCCACCTGGGAAGCTCCTCTTGATGAAAAACACTTCTCAAACTCATTAATAATTCATAAAGAAAATACAAAGAAAATTAATGTTTAATGAGTGTGGAAATCGGATGAAAAACTGCTCAGTATTTGCATCCTTAATTTCTCCTTCAAAAATGATTTTGTTTGAGAAGAAATATCAAACATTCGACACCTCGAAGTTCGTCAAAAATACTCCGCTGCGCGTCGTATTTTCAACTCTCTTCTCGGTGTTTCATCTGGTGATGAAACACTGCTTCTCATGTTTGATATATTACTTTACAATTTGAAAGGTATTCCTGGGTTATTTCCTTCAAATTCATCACATGATCTTTACTGTATTAATTGACTGTGTAAACATTTTGCTGTCATATTCTCGGTTTTCACATGACGTCACCAAAATTCAAACTAAGAAACTATCGATTCTTCCGAGTTTCTGAGTTTCATGAGGTATTACAGCACCTAAACGCCTTTATTTAAACAGAGTTTTGGTTCGAAAGGGTTCTTCGTTTTGCGATAGAGGACGTTTGAATTTCTAGGCTTTTGCGTGACGCGGCATTAAGCTGGCGGCCACAACGGCTCTTATGTGGGTTAAAAACATTACCAATTTTGGGAGATTTTGCTGTCTAAACATTCCTTGTCTCAGAATAAATATCACTTTAATAGTTTATGAGTTTTTCAAGCGATGAATTAACTCATTAGTAGGAAAACTCAAAAACAGATGTTTCTGTTGGTTTCCGGCGGCCATATTTGTGCCCCGCAAAGGGACACAAACATGGCGTCGCCATACAAAGCTTTGTAAATTTGGGTAAAACGTTTCTCCTAATATCTCGCATATGAAATATCGCACAGACCTGATTCTTGGCGAGGCCTTTTGTTTATTTATCTTCTTTTATTTCCTAGATTCGGGACTTTCTGTATTGAAGGGTTTGCAATTTTATTTTTGATTGCGTGACAGTGAAAACTGAGAATTCTCCCCGTATGACAATACTTAAGGTGGCTGAACACAGTTTTGGCAGTTTCTGAGTACAGGTCATTTGCCAAATTATGGCAGGAGAGAGGTTGCAGCTCTCAAGCAGAAACTTGGCAAGTGAAAAATATAATGATGAAAGATTTTGACTGACAGGCAAAATTTGACGTTTTCGTAGTTTCCATGGCAACATGAACGATTGAATACAACCTTAAAATTTCACTTTTACTCAGTTTACATAAAATTCGCTCATTAGATTTTCCTATAAACTCGCACACAGCTTACTATAATTAATCATGACTATTTGAAACTTATTTGACCAAATTTTAACAGAGGGGTTTTCAGATAATCAATGATATAATTGTACTGTTATTATTAAATGTGTCACAAAATTCGTCTGCTCAACTCCCATTTTAAAGTTCTCATTATTTAAAATATGATAAAAGTAAAAATTCTGCCAAATATCACAAAATTTTAATGAGTAGATTTTGAGAAATCGTCTTCTATGTACCATTGCTTTTTTCGCCGCCATGTTTGTTTGTCTAATTTAAAACATGCGCTACCGCTGACCGCCCGCGAAACTGTGTTCAGCCACCTTAAGATGTACAATTCAATGTGGCGAAAAGTTAATTAGATCATTATGAAGAGGTGACTGAAATGAAACTCCAAGTCACTCCTTCTAATTAGTCTGACCTATAAATCAAAAGGAGAATATGGCATTAGATTAGAGGTCACACAACTGACATGTATTTTAGAGCCTCGACATTCTACATATCCCTTCACAATCATTATTAGTGCTTTTAAAGGGGCTCTGTCACGGCAGTCCGGTTCATTTTGTTTAATTTTGCCAATTACTCACCCTCAATTGCTATGGAACTTGAAGTGAGCGAAGAAATTACACATAAATGACAAAATCAGAGATCTGAGACAAACAATTATGTCTCCTGAGCATTATTTTTGAAGTTGCAAGCAGCAGGGATCAACTTTGAAAAACTGTTAGGCTGAACAGTTTTCTAAAACCCTAATTTCAATCCGTTTCAATCTTCTTCAGTTTTGTCCATCCGTGGCATCTGTCGTTTCTGTTATGTTAATTTAACCTTTGTTTAAAGTTTTAAGCAGTTATTTTCATGTTTCTCTTAATTTAACAGGCATTTTGTAATTTCCTAATTGGCTGAATTTCGTGACAAGGCTCCTTTAAATTTAGAGTCACACATTTATACAAGCTGACTTACATACATGTACATGTACAATAAACAGTTATATGTCCTTACTGGCCATGGACCATTTCAAAAAATCTGTTCACCAGCTTTTCACATTGTTCCTTCCACTTATATTTCATCATGTATTCCTTTTTCAGTTTTCCAACTTTTGAGCGAAGGGCCTTTGGTTCCATGTCCCTGAACGCCCTTATCTTGTCAGCCCAAGCCTGGGGGTCTTCAGAATCCACGACAAAATCTGGTCCATATTTTAATGTCTTGAGGGTCATACCTAGCCCAGTATTTCCACTGATCAGAACAGGAACATTGGCTGAAATGGCACGGAGACCACTCATTCCAAAGCCTTCTGTTCTTGATGGCTTGATGAGAATATCTACTTCATGAAGATATTTAAACCATGTTTCTGTGTCCCCAGCCGAGCAATGACGAATTGTCAGCTGATTTAAACTTATTTCTTCCTTTTGCATGGCTTCCTTAAGCTCATCATCATCATCTTTAGGCTGTGCAACAAGTATCAGATTATATGATGCATCTTGCAGTAGACTGATAGCACGAGCTGCAATGTCACATCCCTTGACCTGGAAATATTTGGTGGAACCACTGACTAGTACACAGAATTTTTCATTTGCAGCATTCTTATACTGCTCATTGATACCTAGGTATTTTTCTGAAATTCCAGGTGTTAGGGTAAAAACATTTCCCTCTTTCCCACAGAATCTCAATGCAGCCTTGTAGGCTTCTGCAACTTTAGGGCCCACAGCAATGACAAGATCAGCTTTTCCACACAATGTCACCTGTAGCTCATGCTCTGCAGATGGTTGTTGTTCAGATTGTTCACTTGACTGTGTTTTCTTTAAGTATTTCTCCAGTTCCTCACAGATTGTATGCACAACAATAGCCCATATGCAGTTTTTGTTATCTTTTATAACCTGTGCTTGTCGTCCTACATTAAATCCATAACAATGCATCATCAAAACATCAATTTTCAAATCATCAGGTGGATGGGCTAGCAGCTCTGTTTCTGAATACCCAGAAATGAATTTTGCATCAAAAAGTTTAATGTTTAACTCAGTAGCCAGTTCTTTATGTTTCTCAGTGTGTTTTGGCACAAATCCACTTAGTTCAATTCTCTCATTGTGAGCCAGTTCTTTTTCTAATTCTCCATTTGTCATCTTGTCCCAGCCATCAGCATTAGAAGCAAGTACTACATTCAGTTTTTGTGCATCCCCTGAAAAATTAAAAAAACCATTAACATGACATGGAACAAAAGATTAATCAGTATTACCAGTAATAATAATAGTAATGATAATAATGATAATTAATAGTTATTAATAATAATAAAATTAATAACAAGAGGCTCCAAGTACATGTAGCCTATACTCATGCACAGGAGGTTACAGCATGTACATAACAAAATACATGTAGGTACGCAATGCTACATAGTCAGACATAGAACCTTTCCCATCCTACAACTTGGAATAATACAGGAGAAAAACTAATCTGAAAAAGTGCATCATATTAGATCTAAGATATAGGTAATTAAGATGCAGGAGGGAAGATAAGTGCTAAAACATAATATGCCATCTTCACTACAAGAATACCATGACCGGTGAATAACAAAGCGAGCAGAATACCAATCAGAATACAGCTGTAGTTGCAAGTCTCTAGATTCCTTCAAGGTAGAGTCTCTGAAGATATCATGATATTGGTAGTGTGAAATACTGGGGTCGCCATGTAGCATGCTTCTCTCCAACGCTTTCCTAAATTGTTATGATTGAATTTTTAAAATAGGATAAAAATCCCTCAACAAAATAAACGATTCAGTTGTGTCCAACTTGTGTTTATTCAGTGTGACAACTGTGACAAACACTCGATACAAATAAATCTGTGTAAGCCACAGGCAATTCATTTTGGTGTGACAATTCACATTAAAATCTGTAAAATGTGGACCAAACTTTTCAATATAAGCTTGAGTATTGATCACGTTTGTGGGATACGAAATAAACAGACTGTATGCTAACGACTTGCCCGTAGTTTTATTGTAAACTTAATTCCCCATTCACTTGGTTGCACGCATAGGTGACATTAACAGTGGTTGTAAAAAAACTCAGAATTTGTTCAGTTTTTTTTTTATTTTGCATCTCTAGTGTAATCGGTAAGGTACGATGTTTACGAAAAGGGCAAAACAGTGACGTCCTCAAGAAGGTTACAAGCAAAAGGCGAGACGTCTACCCTTCAGACGGGCACATACACCAAAATAGTGCGAAAGATTTATCAGTTATCCCGAGTTAATGATAAAAGGAAATAAGAAATCTATTTCAGGAAATAAGAAAATACATATATTTCTAAGATTTTTGCTGTACGCACGGACGAATGTGTGCTGTCATCCATGCATACTCTAGCAAAAGGTACGAACAAAGAAAATAGTGTATTGGTTTAAAAAAGGAGTAACTGAGAATGCAGAAGCGAAAATATTGGGATGGTATCATAAAGTTAAAGTTTGATTTGAGATCTCAAACGTTAACACTACGGTGAGGGTTTCAGTAAGGGTGCCGCACACCCAACCAGATTTGACACTTACCATTAGATTCATTTGTTCTCAAGGATTCCCTTTTGTCACTTGATCCAGGTATAGGATTTGCGTCTAAAGTTTCCGCTACACCAGCCATCGCAGATGACCGCGATAAACCATAAACGTTCTCCCTAGTTTTGCAACAAAGTTTGCAGCCTGCAGGCAGGCTACAAAATTCGCGAAGTCCACATCGGTTACTTCATGTATAAATGGTGGCAATAAACGAAGAGTCCTCATACATGAAGTCCTACCCTAGAGATACTCTGATCACAGGTATCACAGGCTTCACAGGCTTCACAGGCTTCCCTGCAAGCTCGTCCCCAGGAAGAAAATCACCCCACGCGAGAAAAGGCGACGAAAAATCTGGGCTAAGGTCGTCTAAGGCTTCCCAGGCGTCGCATTTTTTGGGCGAAATAAATAAAAAAATCCTTAATAAGTTCTTTACTGAATAGGTTTTTTGATACTACAATACGTAGTAGTCGAGCTAATTCACAATTATTCCTTGAGCCCGAATGGGCTCGAAGTTCGGCCTCATGGGCTATTGATTCAGAGGCCATGAGGGTGAGAGGAATAATTGTTTTAGTAAAATCCAACTAGTTGGTCAAAAATATCGAAACAAAACAACTTTAGCTAACAAAACGCGATTCAGCCGCTATTGCTTTGGTTTTCAAAGCCAGAGCTTTTCGCAACTAGTGGGCTGTAACATATAGCCTAGTATTAGCTCAACCAATCAGATCAATCAGATTGCAGCATTGATAATAGACCACTAGTAGGATTTTACTAATATCAAAGATTTGGTGAAAGATGAAAATTATTGTCAGAAATGAGGCGGTAGAAGTACATTTTACATGCTATTTGTTCAGCTCTTTTTGTACTGTAAACTGTCGGCAATTTCTTTGAGATGAGGCGATTAAAGTTTTCATTATTTGTGCCATATGGAACCGCTTGAAAAAAGGCTATAAAATTGGGGCTAAAATCAGCAGAAGTCGCACAAAAGCGCCAAAAAACTCAGCGTAACGGGCGTTAACGAAAACATTTTAATTTGGCCCGGAAAGAGAGGCTACGTTTTTTCGGTACGAAGTAGCGTACGAAACATAAGAAGCCTCTGCTCACAGGGTGAGTGTTTGGATAACAGTCTTCGCGGGAAAAATTGGAATCTAATTGGTCTGTATTGTTCCCAGGACTGGTGGAATTTATCGACCTACACTACAGTTAGTTATTGAGTTAAGTTGCGGAAAGTACGAGCCAAAGCAAAAGCAATTAACGGCTTTCTTTCTTCTTCTTCTCGAATTAGTTTTCGTTCAATAAGGACGCATGTATAACGATCAAGTTATCTGTATCATGCAGCCATTAATTTTATCTAGCGGGTTCGTGAAAAAAAGGTTTTTCATGATGACATTAATGCTATTTCAAACAAAAGGTTTGGTTTTATAGCACCGTACATCCTAGCGACAGCAATTTTCAGACCCTTTCTCGAAAAGTGGAGAACACACTGCAATCAGCTTTGTGACGATAGTACCAATTGGTCTCTTTTTACTAGACGAAATTTGTTCTTATGATAACTAGCTCCATCTAAACGAGCTTAGAGAAGTCTTATTACTCCCTCCTTCCAACAATCACTTCCCTATCCACTTCAATCCAGCCACTTCGAGGAAATTTCTACGTTGACAGAGGCTATTATGGGTGAGGAACTCATGACAACCTGTTTACCGAGAGCGCACAAGCATTAGTAAAAATTTATACAATAAAGCACTATTTGACATATTTTAGTGGTAATAAAGAAGAAAAGCTCTGGCTGTTATTTTTTCAGAGTGTTTTTAATCCGGACAAATGATTAAATGGCATTTGTGTTTCCAAGAGAGAACTCTTGGTGTTCATATGAAGACAACTGAAATTGCACTCATTGCCTACAATGTGACAGTGTTAACGTTTCTTGTTTTTGTGTAAAATAGAGAAAACGTTCTCAGGTTGTTTTCCGAGAGGCTATTTAATCGAAGAGGACCTTTAGACTACTTTATGTCAAAGTCACACAGAACAGATAATAATGGTTTCTACTTACATTATACCAGAAATGGCACGATTCATTGCATGTACTGAATACGAATTGCAACGGCTTCTGTTCTTGAAGAGACGTAGATTTCAGTGTTAAACAAATGAAAAAGAATCGGCGTTAAGGCCGACCGTTTCTCTGACTTTGTAGGGTCGACAGAGGTAGGCCATCTTAGAAAATAGCCTACAAGAAAAATGAGGGAAACACTTTTGCCGTATTTAGTGATTTCCACACCCTTTTTTCATTTAGGAGTTTCAGAATATTCTTCAGTTTTCTTTTTCTAAAGATACTATAACAGGACAACAATGCATTTCTGTGTTCCAAGTTAACAACTGTAAAATAAATGAGGAACCTCTCCAACAGGCTCTTTAGCCAGAACAAATAAACAAAACTTCAAACAAAATTCAATGAAGTGAAAACTCGCTTTCGAAGCGCAGACATTTATAAATACAACGATAATATTTTTTATAATGGCAATGAGGTCAAACTCTGGTCATTTTCCGAGTGGTTTTTCATTTGGGAATAGTGATAAGATGGCATGTCAGTCAAGGGTAAAAGAAGCTGAAATTGCACGCATTGTCGGGAGCACGTGTAGTACAATGTCTATGCTTTGTATGTTTTCAAAAGGGGATATAGCTCTCAGTTTATTTTCCGAGAGGGGTTCTTTAGGTGAAAGAAGGCTCTTTAGGCTGCGTCGACGCAAAAATCACTCAGGACGGACAATGGTTGTTACTTCAATAAAAGAAATTGCAAAATCCATTTCTGTACCAGAAGAGCAGAAAAACACGCTTTATCAACATCAGAAAAGACTTCCTTAAGTTCTGCTACAGGACTGCGAGATGACTGTTGCGAATTCTTCATCAGCCTCACCGTTCACGTCCTCTTGTGTCTTGACCCTTTCGATTTTAACCGAAGATTACCTTCTGGAGACAAGCATTTTCTTTCTCATGGCCATAACATTAAACATTGCAAGCTGTCCTTTCACCATCCTAATGAATGTGCTGGTAATAGTGGCGGTGAAGACCAGGCGACAACTGCAAACAAACTATAACGTACTGTTGGCCTGTTGGGCGGTAACTGATCTTTTGGTTGGAGTTTTCGTCCAACCAATCTTCGCAGTTGCATTAATAACTGTCTTAAAAGGCTCGCTCACCTATTACTGCCAGTTTTTTGTTACATTTTCAAAGTTGCTTTTCATTCCTTTTGCCGCTTCTTTATTTCATCTTGCTCTACTTAGTGCAGAACGCTATGCGGCGATGAAGTTTCCTTTCAGGTATCCGGACTTTGTAACCACATTTCGGATAAAAATTGCTGTTAGCTTTAGTTGGCTTGCTTGCATTGTTAATGCTCTACCTTACACAGGCGTTATCGCCACTGTCGTAGGGCCAATCTACTTTACTTTTCGTGTTTTGTCTGTTGCAACAATTGTTTACTTTCATATTTCCGTGTATATTGTAACTCGGCGCCACGAAAAACAAATCCAAGCTGAACAAGTCTCCCCTGAAGCTCTCGCAAAGTTCTTGGAAGAGAAAAGAGCCCTGAAAACAACGACAATTATTATTGGGGTTTTCCTTCTGTGCTATCTTCCTTTTGTTGTAATTGGTACCGTACGCGGGGATCTATTGAAAAAATCCTTGGTTAGTGTAACCTTAAGTTTACTACAACCATTGTTATTATCTTCTTCTCTAATAAATTCTCTCTGTAACCCCTTAGTTTATTGCTTTAGAAATAAGGAGCTCCGAAAAGTGTTTATTGAGTTACTTCAGGATTAAATGTTTTGCACTTATTTATTCAATAAAACTATTTATCCTTTAAGGAGAATTGGTTTTCATCGGTCCATTGAAATGTTTTTCGTTCACAGAATCGACACTGGGCCAGTCTTCTGCTCGAAAATACCTTTGACGGTATGAATGTGTTGCAAACCTTTAGCGACCCATCTCAGGTTCCACTTTCACGATTAAAGCAGCGAGCGCAGGCCGAAATGGGAAACATTAGGGTGCAAAGCACGACCACTGGATTTGTGGGAAGGGAAGGATTGCGGTGCGAAGCGCGTCCCCTAGATCTGTTTAAGTCTTCCCAGGACACCACACGCGCCTCATGAGAGTTGAGAGGGACGCCTGGCCATGGTGACGAGGCAGAAAAGAAGCTATGTCTTTTATTACAGAGTTTATCTTTTTATCGCTTTAAAATTGTGTAGTTTTTGTGCTTTTCTTCTAGATGAAGTGTAAATGTAAAAAGAAAGAAACAGCAGCAGCTGCAGCTTCTGAATCCTATCAATAGTTAGTTGACTTACTATAACAAGCCACCCATGATCCCAAACCTGAATCAGTATCTGAATGATACGAATAGTGAAAAAAAAAAGAGGAAGATCACCTTACAATGTATAACCATTCCTTTGGCATCATAACACTTTTAAAGAAATACGTACAAGCTACTATTAGATTTACCGATAAGTGACTTCTGGCAGGAGCCTTAAACAAAGAGAAATCAGCAGTAACATGTACAATGATTCTCAATTTAATCCTGCTTCTTTGACGCCAGACACGATCGGTGACCATCACCCCACTTCTTTTTCACCACATAAGTTAACATGACCTCTTGAAGACTTCTTAGTCCTCTGTACCGCACTGATGATTTGCCTTCACGCGTATCAATTATTCTAAACTTTTCTTCTGCTTAATGCAGTTTAGAGTTTCGAACGATATACAATATATGCCTAGATGAGTTGGAAATTACCAGTAGTCTGGGTTTTATTTATACTTTTTACAAGAATAACGTAATCGAACGCATCAGTAAATGCAATGTGTAGTTACCAATGGGTGGTTACTGATACGTTGTTATTTCACGGACGACAAAAAAAGAGAAAACCCTTATATCTTGGGGCCTGTTTACATATGGAGGTGGGGGACCCCAGATAGGTGACGTAACATGTGCCCCACCTATCATGTAAACGTGATCAAATTAAAATGAGAGATTATATGGACAGGCGGGTTACCCCACCTAAGCGGATTACCTCCCCTACCTGGGGTCCCGCACCTCCATGTAAACAGGCCCTCACTTTGAGATGCACACACCCCAGGAGTATGTCATTTGCGAATATAAGCGGGGCGTAAGAAATACCATCGCCTTTCCCTAAGGGAAGGGTACTGAAAATCTATTGAAGGCAGTTTCTTTACATACCACTAGCCTTTATAAATAATTCTTGTAGTAACGAGAAAAACAGGACGTAACATTCTGTTCTACTTATTTAGCCAGGAGGATGAGTTTAGAAAGCAAATGTTTAATGACTGTTTATTCGAAGGATATTTGAAACCTGTATGTGGAATATTTCTCAAGCCGGCATATAAGTAATATATAATATTATATAATATAAATAAGCACAAACTTTTCAGATTAACAACAATTCTTCTAATAAATTGTACAATACATATAATGAAGCAACCTTAAATCCTCGAGACGGAAATAGAAAACCTACGACCTAGAAAAAGAATACCACAAATACAACTAATTTTAACTACAGTCGCACTTCTTTTGAGCGTCACTGAAACCAAACGTTCTCCTATTAAGCTGCCATTACCAAGAACCTGAGCAAATTCTCAGTAAATCACTCTAAGCCACGGCCACACTCCATGCTATCCTAAGAAGTTATTTACGTTAAAGTAAGTTTTATTAAAGCCCTATTAAACTACCAGGAAGAGCCTAGGAAGTAGCCAACAGTGAAGTGAAAATATTAGTGAAAAATAAACCCAACGTTTTCACTGTTCTTTTACAACTGAAACAGTCACAGATTCGGACTTCAAGGCAACTATGTCATTTTGCGTTATTTATAAACATACTTAAACTCTAGCATGCCTGATTTTCTTTCCGTCGTTCTGTACCATTAGGGACCGAAATAAATCTGCACAAGATGTAAAGTAAAATTGAAACTCCACTGTTTATCTAATGCACTTTTAGGCTTAATAATCCAACTTTCCACTGGTTCTTTTACCCAAGTCGAGTTATAACATTTACAGAAGACAGGTTTTCTTTGTAGGCTGCACAACGTGCGAGGCCACCTTGTTCGCATTTTGACCAAAAGAAAACTCTTTCATTCCTCACTAGTTGCCTGGGAAGGGGGTACTCCAACATATTATGGGCTGGTGAAATGACCAAAAGCTAAATATTGATAATTTTAAAAATGCTCCTCTTATCCTCATCGAAAGATCGGCCGGGAAGCCAAAACGGATCCCCTAGCTATTTAATGAATGAGTACCTCAAAAATCATACCCTCTTAGGGGAACACACACATATAGGGGTACCCCCGGGAAAAATAACTACCTCTGTACGACTAAAGACATTTTTAATTTAAGGCGATGTGGAAACGACAGCAAACAGCTATATGTCCACTATTTTACTAATTTAAAGGTTATTATAAATGTCTGTTCATAGTGGTTTTCCAGCTAGTTTACAGGCACTCCACTTAAATAATTAAAAACAAATCATCCAAATAGCACATAAAGGATGAAAAACCTCAACTGCCAGAAGGAAAACAGTCGGTTATTTACAAGCGTAGATGAGGATTTGAACTCGGAACGACTAAGACCAAATCCAAAAAGTGGTCTAAGCGGGACTCGAACCCTGAAGAGCCGGATTGCGAGTGCAATTGCAGGTCCAGCGAGTTGGCGTGGGTCGATCACGCTGCCTCCCAATATATCATCATAAAGGGGGCATGAAGTAGTCGCAAATTTAAAAGTTTTTGTGGTTTCTGAATCTACCAAATACAACGAAACCTAGTGAATAACCTTCAGGTGTTTCTTTCAGGAAACAGTGGAAAGGCTTCACGCTATGGTCTCTAGTTACAGACCTTCTTAGTCGATGCTGATGTCTTTTCCATTGGAATCTTGATAAGTTGTATAATGATCTTTAAAAACAATACAAAACAATAATCAAACACATCAAACAAATCAAGACAACAACAACAATAAAAACACAGGGTAAAACCGGTAGAAAGAAGTGTGAAATACGCGACTTTCAAGTTAATTTACGATCTTCAGCACGCTAGGATCGCAACAAACGTCATATTTAATGACCATTAGAAAAAATAGGTGCGTGTAAAATCTATTACAACAAAGGAATTCTGCCCACTTCACGGCCCGTACCTGCGAGGAAACGAGTCAGATTAAATTAGAGGAAATGTTCAGTTTTCTACTCAAAGATAACCTCACCAAACATTTTGAAGATAACGAATAATAATACTTCAGCTAACACATGCCGACAACCTTTGGTAATTATAATTAAGTGAATTACCCAGAAATAATTTGCTCAAAGCATTCACGACATCTATGCGTTGCATCTTCACCAGTGCTTTGATAAACCTCTTGACTGTGAGGGCTGGATCAACTTGAACGATGTGTTCCATTAAAGCTCTGGTTGGACTTGGGTTTCCTTTTGGCTTTAAATTGTCACAGTCTTCTTTGGGAACGCCAAGCTTGCAAGCAAAATGCAGCCAGTTTTTCATTCCTGGTGTTTCACTATCCAACAAGGTGGTTAGTTCTTCTAAACAATCGAGATTATTTCGGAGAGTTTTGATTGTGCCACCCTCTATAAATAAGAAGAAAAAGAAATGAGGGGAAATAAGAAGATTAGCAGCCAACAAGTTTAAGAAAAATGCAAATGGGAAACTTGAAAATTGTGTTATCAAAAACAAAAATAATTATAGTGTGAGTTCTACGCCAACTGTTTAGCAGTTTCCATTTCATTCTCTCTTAAGTGGTCGCGTTTAAGGGGCACGTTCAACCACTGTACATTTCGGTCGTGCTTTTCACCGAAATCATTTGCTGTAATACAGAAATCACGAGCGTGATTTCTGTGTTTGATAACAGGATTGTATCTATGTTTCTTTAAAGAAGGATATCACAGCCCGCTATTGCCTTAAGTTGTAAAGATACATTCTGATTTTCAAACACAATCAGAACGTTCGTAATTTCTGTATTACAGCAAATGATTTCGGTGAAGTGCACTACCGCAATGCATACTGGTTGAAGGTGCCCCTTTAAATTCGTTTCGCCTTGTCCGTCGGAATTTTCTTTACCAGGGGGAACGAAAATAGGGCCTGCCCTGAGATAAAGCAGGACTTGGAAACAAGGTAATTTTATTTTTAACAGACCTCAGCGGAGTCAATATAATGTGAAGAGAGCAATCCCAGGTATCAGGTATCGAATAGGTTACTATGGGTTACGTCTTGTGACGTCACCAAAGGATTTTGCAGGCTTTAAAGGAAACTGCTAATTAAATAGCTTATTAAGGAATCCTTACATGAGCATATCAGTGATATCATGATGCAAAACGAGTTATTTTAATCATTTACAACTCTGACGAAAAAAATGTCTGCTTGCACAAAAACAGAGATATAAATATTCTTTTACAGTTGCATCTTTTTGCAGCATTTGCATTGGCCATTCTTGGCAAAAATGTTTGTGATGTCTAAGAAAAACCTTTGTGTAATTCACGATACAATGTTATTCTACACTTAAACTTACTAAGAAAATGACCAAAACTTATTCGGAAACTTTAAGAAAAATTAGCACCTGGTAGATATTTGTCCAACACATTGCACACATCTTCTCTCTGCATTCCTTTCAAAACATCTTGCATCTCCTTCACAGTCACATGGGGCTTTCTGTTTTCGATGATCTCAAGGACTGTCTTCGTACAGCTGGTGGAAGTGGCGATTTGCTGCAGTGTTTCATCTGGAATATTGATGTTCCGCCCTAAAGCTTTCCAGTTATTGCAACGGTCCAACTGTAGACAAATGGTCTCAAAAGTGGAATGATGTTTTTGACGGAAGACTCGTAATGATGAAGTGTCTGCAGGGACAAGGCGTTTGTTAGTTTTTAGAAACGTAGCAGATAAACTGAATAATTTTTTCCAACGTCTTCATGTAGGCACGGCATTATAACTGAGACCTAAAACTAAAAGCATAGTTTAGATTCATATGTGAGACCTATTCTGAACGAAATACACTAGAACCTCGATAACTCGAACTAGAATAACTCGGACCAATTCCCCGCTAACTCGAACTAAATTTTCTTTCCCTTGATCAAAATTGTATTGAAATTTACCCCGATAACTCGAATTCCTCGCTAACTTGAACTGTTTTTCGTTTCCCTTCAGAGTTCTACTTACCGGGGTTCTACTGAATTCTCTTTGCAGTTATTTTTTTCATGGTTGTGATAATCGGGCGTCAATAATTTATGCAAATACATACCTCTTATTGGCCGAGGTTTCGGTTCGTACTGTAAATTACGGACCGAAGTTTTTTTTTCCCATCGATTTATGGCCCACGCGCGAAGCGTATAAGTAAATAAAATGGATTTTCTGGGGGAATGGACATTTCCTATGAAGTTCCTGCATGACAGAGCCCGACGATCGGAAAGAGTGCATGATGTTGATTTATCAAGTGGTTTGTCTTAAGAGAGACCAGGCCAAATGATTGAAAGTGCCTTCTTTTGCACCTTCTTGAGATATCTGTCATTAGACTCCTTGGCAAGTCAGCAAAGCCACTGTAGTCACTTGGCTGCCTGCTAAGTAACAGCTGAACATGTCCTCTTTGTTTTTGAAATGTGCTATTTTCAAAGCAATGGACTTCGCAATAATAACAAGCGGTTTCGCTCGACGCAACGTTAAACGTGTTATTTTGTCAGCTATAAAATCATAGTGGAATCGCAGAGAAAGGTTTAAACCTAAACAATTGCAAAAATTACCTGTTAGACCACATAGCTCCACTTTCTTGACCAGATCATTTCTTGAGATGACGCTGAGTCCTTCCTTAAGGTCTTTGACTGAGTAGTTAGGGTTGCGTGCTTCCAGGAACTCAAACATGTGTTTGCTAGGACTACTCTGAGGATTAGTCTGGCACTTCGTTACAACGTCTTCCGGCACACAGAATTCTGCAGCGAGATGCACCCAGTGCTGGACAATTGGCGGCTCTTGCTCCCCGTGGTAGATTGGTTGATCCAAGCTGCGAGCAAGCTCATCCATAATGTGGACGTTCGCTACAATATTTTCCTTCACAAGAGAATCTATAATATGATTATGTAAAAGATTTTTATGCATTGAATTTACTATAACATTGAGCAATCAGGGAAGCAGCGAGCACTTTTCAAACTAAAAGAGGAGCACACAGTTCTCCGAATCCACCTTCACCATATTGTTTCCATGAAGGTGATTAAATCTGTGTCTCATATCAGTTGCGGTGAGGTTATTATTTCTCCTGGTGGTAACTTCTGCAAAGTTGGGGGTAAACAGTAGCTTTCATTTTGGAAAACAATTTGACAACATACCCCGGCATTCAAGACATTATGAGGAAAGAAATAAAGAGCCGGTTAGCAGCCATGAACCTCGCATGATGTTAAACAATATTTTTAAAACTAGAACAGAGATAGTTACCTCCAAAAGAACGCACAAATTCATCGATATCCTTCACCTGCGAGCAAAAGGAAGTGATTTAAGAATTACTGGGAGATTTCTGGAATAACCTAGGAACATACTGACACAAACCAACTAAGAACGCAATGAACTTACAGAAAAGTATTCTAGCCAGGAGGAGAATGTCCTCCATACGGTCATTCAGCAGGTTGTTTTAGGAGAAAGCTAAGTCAGCTTTTCCTAAATCAACGGCCCGAAGAAGAAAAGAAAATAGATTCGATTAATGCGTTGTAGAGAGTAATCAAGAATAGATTCTACGCCTGCAAAATTTGCATGAAAACTAGCCCAATCTAAGTCCCTTACTTAATGTCCACAGAAATTTTCGGCGCAACAATTTTAGTCCCGACAGGTCTACCACATTGTAGTCGGTGAAAAGACTAATTGTTTCTTATAGGGATCCACTAGTAAACAAAGTATTCTTTTAAGAACAAAATATATCTTAGCATCTAGCAAACTCGTGATTTACTAAGAGTTATAAATGATGTAAGTGTCATTTTTAGGTCCTAAGGTTACCTGTATCCCTGGGAATTCAAACCAATATGAAACTTGCTTCATTGGAACCACTGTACTTGTAGCAAAGGTACTCCTTGTGCAAAGTTGTTCCTTTAACAACGCATGTTCTGGCCAGAAGTGAAGACAGTCTTCCTTCTCACAACAGCGTCTTTGATGTTTTTTGCAGTAGAGAACTGAACGCTGATTACAACAAACTGGGCAGCTGACACTGAATTCGTATTCCATAGTTTTCAGCCAAAAACATTCTTCGCGTATGCTTTGAAGTATCGAGTCAAGCAGGCGTCTTACCTTGTAGGCGATGGTCGTGTCGCTTGCAATATCTGGATCTCTGTGAACTACGACCTCGATACAAGAGGAACGGCAGTGCAAGATTACTGAATAACCCTTCGAAAGGATGGGAAATCGGGCGAAGTTCTGGTACATATCCTGGTACAATGGTCTGATCTCATTCTTGATGCTCCACTGAAGGAACTTTACTATAAGTCTTGGGAACAATCCAAGAGGCACTTGAAGATGTTCACAGTCAGCATCATCGCCTGGGTGTCTCAGAGGATGTGGTTGGTTAAATCGTATGAAAAGAGGGGGGATGAAGGCTTCGCGGAGGAGCTTGTTGGCAACTTCATCTGGATGGGACATCAACATGGATGGTACCAGAAATTGCTTCTGGTTGTCCACTGACGGCAAACTGCACACCAGGCTAAACTTCTCCATGACGGCAATGAGGTTTTGTGTGGTTTCCTTTTTAAGCAAGGGACTCCACACAATCTGGAGGAGTTTATCATCCAGGATTCCATCAGTCTCAAGTTTTGTCCACATTTCTTCCAAGTAACGCTCATCAGCCGTAGGATCATAAGGTTTGACGGTTATTACCTTCCGAAACAGATCAATCAGCCATTGCGGGTCTAAAATCACCATATTCATCAACTCTGGCGTGTCATCAAAGTGTATCAGAATTCTCTGATCGTGTAAAAAGTTTAGCAAGGTGACAAATTGCTCGTCATCTTCGATTCCACATTCAAGTGCTACCATTCTTGCCTCTTCAAGGGAGATGAACGGCTCCCCGTTTTCTTTCTTGTTCTTTAAAAGTACGTCTTCGAATCGTAACCACTTTATTGGAATTAATTGCCTCAGCTGTGGGAGTTGTTCAGTAACTGCAAGTATTTCCTTCCTCAAACGATGGACATCTGGGCACTCGTCTCCTCTTCCTGAAGTCGTGTTGTCCACAACAAAGTACGTTTTGCACAAGTGTTTGCCATAGGGCTTTGCCTCAGATCGAAGAGTGCCATATATTTTGCGTGCTCGATCTTTTGCATCTTCCTGACATTTATCTGCGTGTGTGCACACTAAAATAACCGGGGGTGACCTTTTCGGAAGCTTTCCTGACAGTAAATTGATTGAATCATCCGTGTGCTGACTTGCTAAAGAGGAGACTGATGACAACCAAAAGTGCAGATAATCTTCATTGGTCTTCGAGCAGTGAAGGTCTACTTTCCTCTCAAAAACGCCTTCCATCTCTGGGGGTGTAGCTCTTTCCTGTAACTTCTTACTAAGATCGTACACCAGGAGGTAAATTGCTTTGTCAGTGAGAAATATTGGGTGGGTAGCATAGTAGACTGATTGTCCACCAAAATCCCATATAGTGGAATAAACCTTTTCCTCACTTGTTTCCTTAGATTCTTTAAGAAATTTTTCGACATATTCAGCTGTTGCGTGTGGCACTTCTTGAGGAATAACCTCTTCATCGTTTTCTTCCACATAAATTTTTGATACCAAACGTGCAGTCTGTGATGCAGTCTTTTCTGAGTGCTGTTGGATATCATCGCCTCCCTTTTCTTTCACTATCACAGGAGCATTTTCTTGAACTTTCAAATTTTCTGCTGCACCCCGTTTTGAAGTCAAGAGGTTCCTCGAACTTGGTTCACGGTTTGATAGGTCATTTTTATCTCCCGTCAAATCTGCCACTATGATGCGCGCTACTCTATTATGAAGAGAAACATCAGCATCTGGATGTGGCTCCGTCTCTGTCTCCCCTGCTTTCCACATCTCTGTTGTCACGCTGAAGTACGAAGGATCTCGCTCTATTAAATGAGTGCTTTTCTCCTCGGGACTGAATAGCTGTCCTTTCAAGGACTTCTTTAAACTGGTCTTTCCTGATCGTTCCTGTCCAATTATCATGATGGGCACTCTCATCACACGTGTCATGCCCTGTTCCAAAGCCTTCTTGTAAGCTTTGATGGCCATGGAACCTCTGGCAAGAATCTCAGCAGGAACTAAGGACATAACATTCACTGAGTAAATGCATGCAATTGGTTAGTGGGGGATTGGAGGGGATTGAGCTGTCAATATCCGTCCCTATACGAACTCATCCTTGAAACTGAAAATCCATATCCTTTTAATATGCTACTATGGAACAAGGGGTCGTTGGTTTCAGTTTTAGTTACGTTTTTAAGAGACTTCTTTTACGTACAGAATAAATGAACGCCAATACAAAGTGAAAGAAGTCGTTGGAGATATCTCGAGAATCTCTCAATTGTTAAGGTCCAGCCGAAATATTTTTTTCTTCAGTCGTGAAAACATATTGCTTTACGAGCATTTGTCTCAGTCCTTATCCGCTCCACGAAGAGAGGAAAAATAACTTAGAATCTACTAGATTTTCTATCGAGCATGACGACGAGTACGTCAGGCTAGGAAAGCAGTTGTATCTTTCTTGTCAAGTCGATGCCGGACGTGCAAGCGATGCTGTTTAGAGGTGGGAGTGAAGGATATCTACGAAAAATGGCACGGCATCTATACCTTGAATTGGCATACGGGAGGTCATCATACTTTGCCTGAACAATTTACACTCTTAACTTTAACTCTCTTAACTGACATTGGTTATCCTTTTCGCTTTCTTTTTAAAGAGAAACCATGAATTACTCTAGACTTTCCACAGTTTCAGTGTTACTCAGTGACATTGGACAAAGTCAATTTTAAAAAGTGGACTTTTCACAGTTACTGGCCTGCGTTGCAGCCGGCCCACGCACTCGTCTAAACCATTTGTATAGTCCGTACGCTCTATATAGAAGGTTTAGAGCGTCTGTGACGCAGGCTACACAATTACGTACCTAATTAATCCCTGGAGAAAGGAGGGAGCATCATTGAGAGAAATAAGGTTTAAACAGTGTAATGCAGAAACGTCATCAAATGTATCAATGACGAACAGCATAAACGTATTGCGTACCGTTTTTCATCATCATTTTCTCCACCAGTTTGGTGCATTGATCATCCCAGCCATACTCCTCTTCGTATTCTTTTCGAAGTTGAATTGCCCTTTTGTAGGCGATTTCTTGGCCAATTGTTCTGACTTCTTTTATCTTTTGTCCCCAGATCTTGGGGTCATCTGAGTCCACGACATGGATACCACCGGATGGTAGTTTCTTCAGAGCTGTGCCAACACCAGAATGTCCACTCACGAGAACGGGAAGGTCTGCAGAAATGGCATAAATGCCACCCATTCCAAATCCTTCTACCCTTGATGGTAAAATGAGAACATCGGCATCGGTGATAAATTCAGCTAAATTTTCAGGTGAATCGTCGCGAACTGACTTCACTGTGAACTGGTTAGCCTCCATGCCTTCACGAACCAGAGTCTGTTCCAGGCCCGAAACACTGTGACTTGACTTCATAACAAAGGTTAGATGATATGATGTCTGCCCTCCTTCCTCTTCTTGTAATGACAGGATAGATTTTACAGCAATGTCACATCCTCTAGCGTAGAAATATGGAGACAAATATGGATAGGCTGCACTGATCAAGACGTTAAATGTTTTTCGATCTTGATGGACTTGCCGAACATTTCTCAATTCCGAAAAAATTCCAGGTGTAATGCTTACCACATATGGTTGAAGATCCTTGAAAGGTTCAGCTACTGTGGGACCAATTGTCACGACAAGATCAGCCCTTTTACACATTTCAATCTGCCTTTGACCTTCGGCGTTATGGTCAGGATCACGTCCAGCCAAAGAGACACCAGCTTCCTCAAAGAATTTCACAAATTTTCCCCAGTCCCTGTGCACAATAGGAATCCACTTACAGTTCGTCGCTTTACAAATTTCTTCTGCTTGTTCTTCTAATTCGCGGGAATAACAATGCATTAACAAAAAGTCAATATTTTGAAGTCGTTCAGAAGGATAATCCAGCAGCTCTATTGGTGAATCTCCAGGAAAGATTTGATCTTCAAGAAGTTCAATATTTTCTGCGAGCTCCATCCGTCTAGGGTGGTTTTTAGAGATAAAGGCTCTGACGTGGAGTTTCTTATTCTTGGCCAAGTGACTTGTCAGAACTCTATTTGTAGTTGTGTTCCATCCCCCCGAATCTGTGGCCACCAGTACTTCAAACTTTCTCTCATTTTTTGACAGCGTGGATGTTGATAGTGAGTTCTCTGAAAAAAAAATCTAGTTTAATTTACAATTCTGTAATAGATTTTTTTATCGAAGTACTTAAAGGATACCACCTTCTTATCAAAGCTTGCTTGGTTATGTTGCATATTTTAATGCCATGCACTGGCCTACCAGTAAGACATTTGATGCACATTCCGAAAGAAAGGGCTGTCTCATTACAGTTACGGTGTTGCTAGGCAGCACACTGGTGTGCAGCTAGGAGCGGAACGTATCACCAATTTCGTGTAGCAATGTATCGCAGGATTTCCTAATTGCTCTATGCAAGAAATGTCTCACCCTGTTTGCCGATTGTTATATCCTTTTCTTTTTTTATCTACTGACACTTTTGCAATCTTACATACTGTATACTCTAGTGCGCCAGGTTCTCACAAGAATAGGCCAAAATCCTACACCTCATCCCGCTACAAATACATTACTGAATCTGTGCCAAGTCAAGGGCAATGAATAATTTGTTGTTACTATAGGAAAGCCACACCCTTAATCGGTAGTGACTTGCAATATTTGTACCTGGGCAACATTTATAAGATCCACAACTAGAGGAAAAACAAACCTGTATTTTTGCCGTCACTCTTGTATTAAAGTTAATTGTCTAAGTTTTGTCCAATCCGGCACCGGCGCATGCGATGGTGATAGTTCTAATTCACGCACTAGTGCGAAGTGATAAACTTAATTTAGTTATAATTTTTAATGAAATGAATAGTGCCAGTTGCTTTGCAGTTTGCTGTCTATTGGCAGGAAAGAATTGAGATTGCAATGACTAGTTCGCAATCTGCAGTCTTTATAAATCGCCCAGTGGCAAAGTTCTAGATACTGTATTACCGCAATTAAATCTGTTGTAAAACAAAAGTAAGCAATATATTAGCTACAAAATAGCTAATAGCTTTGGTCACCCTACAGACCTTTCACCTCAGTAAATTCGACTTGCCGACAGTTTAGTAAGGGAAACCTAATTTTTTGTGAGCGAATTTTCCCTAGGTAACTTAGAAATTCACTTTGGAGAAATGTTGTCGTCTGCCGCCAACTGCATGTGCTCGTTGACTCGTCCTTAATTACGGAGATTTTAGCAGTTTGACCTAGTTTCCAGAACTCTTTACCTAAGTAAAATATGAAACCCGAGATGAATTTACCGCAGGAACTGCGTTTTGGGTGTATAAAAAGTGTGTAGTGTTACCACAGTTATATAAAATATGACTGAAATAACCATGATCATGAAAAGCATAGTTAGGTCCGCTTCAAACGTCGAATTTCACATGTGCCGAACTTAATGCGAGAGTTAAATGCATGTGAAGTGCGAGTATTGGGGGTTAATAGGGTCAAAATTCAGTTTTCCTGTTCTGTTGTGCTATTTTGTTTTAACATTCTGTTGTTCTGGCCTAATGTGCAGTTATTATGCGACGCTGTTCTGCTATTTTGTTGTTTTGTTATGTTGTTCTGTCATTCTGTTTTAACACTCTATCGTTCTGTTATTCGGGTGGAAAGTGCAGTTGTGCGATTCTGTTGTGCTGTTGTGCGATGATTATGTTGTTTTGTCATTCTGTTTTAACATTCTATCGCTTTGTTATGCCATTCCGTCGTTATGTTATTCCGGCCATTCTCTCTTTCTCTCTCAGTTATACGGTTCTGCTGTGCTGTTAGGCTATTTTGTTTCGATTTGTTGAATCGTTATGCTGTTTTGTCACTCTCGTTTACCATTTTATCGTTCTGTTATGCTATTCTGTTTTGCTCTTTTACCATCCTGTCTCTCGCGACCCATCCAAAACGCGCGAAAACTGAGAACTAGTTACCAGTCTATGTGATGAAGTTGACTTGACAGGTCGGGCGTCTGGAAGAGGAGGAACCGGAATAGGGAATAGGAACCGGAACCGGAACCGGAACCGGAACCGGAATAAGAACAGGTATAGGAATGGGTGAAGAAATAAGAAAAGAAAAATAAAAATGAGCTCGCCCCAGAAGTTAAAAAGGTGGATAGCGGTATCCAGTGGATATTGCAATCGGTTTCCAAAAAACTTATACGCTGCATACTGCTATCCAAGGTATGAATAACCCGGGGCTGGACTTGGGATTGGAATCAACAGTGGTCATAGCTGCAATGTTCCTGCTGGAGCCCATGCTCTTGGCTCCCTGCGTTGAGATAGTGGGAATGACGTCAACATTTCAGGTCAAGATAGGTGTTTTGAGCAGGTCTTCGGTTAGGTCGTTTTCTACCCACCTGAAATGTTTTAACGACGTCAAAAGTAAGGCAGTAGAGCTACCTGCCATATAC